CACCTTAAGGAAGCTGTTAAAATTGTTTTCATCCTTTTGTTACTATGCAGTAGAGTTTTCGTTCTTAAGTTTTAACCCAAACCGTTTGAGTTTGTTTGTGTCATGTAAAATAAATATGAGAATGTGTGCTACACCAAAGACACATATTCACTTAACTACCCTGTGGAATTTTTTTACCTAGTTACCCGACCGCTTCATTTACTCCCATTTGCTAGCGAATGTATCTCATCTGTTTAAGAATTTTCAGAGTTGCTTAAATGGTTTTTTATACCCTTGTATTTGTGTTAACACCGCCACATGTAAGTTACGAGAAGAAATTATATGTTGAAATTGCTTCGTTTGATCTCCTCTCCTCCATTCGGTTTTACCTAACCCCTTTGGCCCTAATTGCTACACTTTATTCATTCCTACATCATCTGTGGCTCCTGGTGTTCTGAATGCAAGGGATGCCTAAATGATCATATGTGCAGATTAGCTTTTGTAATGGTATCGAATAAGTTTTATTTAAAGTCTGCTTGCCATGTGTTAGACAGTTAGGATTGGGCTGTTGTTTGGCCAGCTTTAATCTGTTAAGCTGAGTGTGTTATTGTTGGTTATGAATTAGTTGGGTATTTGGTTATTTGTTGACGGTGTCAGTTGGCTAGTTGAGATTGGTTTAATCGATTTACTTGGTTATAGTGTGTTAAGCCATAAGTGTAACGATCTAAGAGTAGCTTTTGATCCAATTTGTGATTAGTAAAAATTTGATTCATTTCTTCTGTTGGTTTTAACTTTGTTTTTACCCTGATCTCATATAATACATGAAACTAAAACCTAGCCGCCTCTTATCTCTTTCAACTCCACAGCCGTTCACTGGGCACCATCCAGCCAACAATGTCGCCCTTTTCACACCATGCAAGGGTGCACATATGTACATACCAGAATATAAATGTATCAATTTTATGAACCTAAAGTACAAATGCTTTAAACCTTTGTTTGCAACCTTATTATTCAAAGCTTAGTATACAGCGTCTTTATCAGTTATGATGATATATTATAAGTATTTGCCTTCTTATTTATTCATGATCAGTGATCTTGATAACCAAGTTCTAAAGGGGTTCTTGCCTGTTGAAATATCCAAACTACATCACCTACAGAGCTTGTAAGTACAAATAACAATTTTTTTAAACTTGGCGTTTTTTGCTATGTAAATGCTGTCTACATAAAAATTATTTGCCCCAACTTGCTTTCTCATACTGTCCTCTTCCTATATGCCTAATATCCATTTCTCTTGTTTATGTTGTGCTTGGCCTCTACAGAAACTTGAGCGGGAACACAATTCATGGGGCCATTCCATCATCACTTGGAACAGTCACCAGCTTACAATTCTTGTAAGTGTAGCATAATTTCTTTTCCTTCATGAAGATGGTTGTGATTATAAATACCTTCTATATTTCAGGCGTAGAACTTAAACTTTGGTAAGCATTTTGTGCATGAACATCAACATTAGGTTTGATTATGACCTATCTTATCTAATGTTTTCTCGATCAATGATGTATCCTTGCAATTGTTAATTGAATTATTTTTTTCAATAGCCATCATGCTTAAAAGGACCTTAAATTCTCGACCAATGATTTGTTCTTGGAGTTTTTGAGCTTTATCAATCTTATTCATGAGATGTCTAAATAAAAATTGCAGGGATCTCTCCTACAATTCCCTCAACGGATCGATTCCTGAAAGTCTAGGACAGTTGACCGCATTACGCAGATTGTAAGATCTCATTTCGTTGATTAACCTTGAATCTGAGCATAGTACAGTGTAGCTGATTTATTTTGTGATGGTGCAGGAATCTTAATGGCAACTCTCTGTCCGGAAGAGTCCCAGATGCACTTGGAGGAAGGCTTTTGAATGGAGCTAGCTTCAAGTATGTCCTAGAATCTTATTAGTATTTGTCTAAAATGTTATCTTTGATGAATGATCATGCCAGTTGCTGCAAGTTCTATGTATCATGCGCTTACTCTTGTTGCTTGCAGTTTCACCGATAATGCTGGCCTCTGCGGCATACCTGGACTACGTACATGCGGACCGCACCTCTCTGCTGGTGCAAAGGTCGGCATTGCCTTCGGTGCATCTCTAGCATTCTTACTCCTAGTTATCTGTTCGGTTTGTTATTGGAAAAGGCGGCAGAATATTCTTCGAGCACAGCAGATGGCAGGTTAGTTACAAATGGATAAATATTCTAACAAAATATAACAAGCTTAAAATTTGTTCATCGTTTTATCCTCTGTTTCTTTTTAGAGCACCTATAAACCCCAACATTTTAGTTTTAATTGATTAATGATTAACACATGTAATTAATATGATATTTTTAACATAACACATATCATATCATCATTATAGTTGATGTGATGCATGCTACATCATCAATTTGGATGATATAGTATGTGTCCTATCATCAATTTGGGTGATATAACATCAACTTGAGTGATGTAATACATCCACGTGATTATCTTGGATGATATAGTACATGTCATGTCACCACCTTAGATGATATAACAAATATTACCTAATCAATTAAACACATAAAAATAACATGTTAGCAACTTGCACTAACAATGAGTCAACTAATGATTTTCAATAAGGAATATTTTGACAAAATAAATAAAACATTAAAGACTAAAACGTTTAAAAATAAAATTAAATAGATCAATTTAATAAATATCAAAGACTAATTTTAGCATTAGATCAAATATACCGGCTTTCTTTTCATGCCTATACAAATTTATGTGTGCAGCAAGAGGTGCTCCTTATGCAAAAGCAAGGACTCAACTCTCGCATGATATCCAAATGTCAAGGCATCACAATCATCATCATAACCATGGCAATACGCGGACAGCGGCCGAGAATGGACCTAGCTTGCTATCGTGATTAAATCAGTTGACACAGCCATCTCAGTTTCTTTAGTTCATGATATTTCTGCTAAAAAAAGAAAGCTCAGATACCCCAACAATCACACTAAATGCTGCAAAAGTTATTCATTTAGCTTGTACATTTTCGTCAATTCTTTGAAATTATGTTTGGCAGAAAGATATCTTGTAAAACCTTAGCAGAGAAAGAACAAGTGCATATACGAACACAAAATCAGTGTGTTTTAGGTCAATCTTAGTATATATAAAAATATGATATAAATTACAAAATAAACTTGAAATAAATAAATAAAATAATACCATTCTTTTTTTTTATAATTTTCAGTAAAAGAAATTCATAAAAAATAAGGATCCATTGGCTTTCGTGCCTCTGAAGCATTTATATCCAACACTTTGTCGTGGAACCAAGAATTCCAAAAAGAAAAGTGAAATAAAAATAAACCCAATAAAATAGCTTCACGTGACGATATGTCAGTAAACCTGCAGTCAATCCACCTTCCCCCACCGTACACTTTTCCCCCTCCCAGTCCCACCGGACCACTTTCTTTTTTTTTCCTCTGACTCCCAAAACCCAGTCCAACACGCCACCACTCTCAACTCAGTCCCCTCCACTCCCAACTCGGTCCAGCTCGGTCCTGTCTCCTGCGACTCAGACACCTCTTTTATGTACGTGGGCTCCCTCTCTCTCTCTTATGCTACAATCATCCACTCAGTACCCGACACGCCACACACCACCCTTCGAATCTTATACTCTGCTGATGCCCACACTGTCCCCAACTTATCAAAGTATGTTTAGTTCACGAAATGTAAGATTATCAGTGAGAATAAAATATTATCAGGGAATAGGATTATTGAAAATGTTATATTTTGTGTTTGGTTGGTTTAGCAGGAATGTAAAATTACCATGTTTGGTTAAAAGAATAAAAGATTATTGGAATATATATTTAATCAAATTGTCCTTATTATATATTTGTATAATATTACAAATTGTAAAATATTTATATATTTTCTTTAAAAAATTAAATTCATAATATTTATATAATTTTTTTTACAAAATTAAAAATATAAAAAAGATTTAATAAAAGGGTAAAAAAAATTTAACCCCTGAATTTCATATAAAATTTTAATTATAAACTTTTTTTATAAATCTAAAATAATTTAAGGATAAATTTATAATTTAACCTTCGTATAATTTTTATTATTCAATGACAGAAAAATGATATTTTTGAAAAAAAATAAAAATTTAATGACATTTTAGTCCAAAACGCCAGTAATATTATAATACCTAAGGAAATGGAGGTAATGACATTCCAGGTAATATACCCAAAAAATCTACTGTTGGTTATAAAACATTACCAGAAATAAAATTCCTATCCAACCAAACATAGGAATGTGAGATTCTCATTTTATAAGAATCCCACAATCATTGAACCAAATACCCTAAGATAATCATCATCTTACTTACTTTTTTATGTGTATTTAATATTAAAAGGAAGGCGCCGCTGAAGGCTGTGCAGAGAAGAAAGAGTAGGGCATACGTAATCATCGCCGCGGATTTTGTCAGGCGGCGCCTATCTCGGGTTTTTCGAGTTTTTCATTTGTCCTCTGATTATATTTTATATATTTTTCAAATATTGATATTTATATTAATCAAATTTGTTAGTAAATCTTGTAAATTAATTTTTGATATTAAAAGCCACCCCAAATTTAGGAGTGTGACGCATATTTGAACATTTCGGTGTTTTATGTCTTAAAAATAAGAAAAATAGAATCAATAATTAATTGATTTAGTAAAATAAAATATTATTTTTAAGTTAAGATTAAAATTTTTATATAATATTATAAATAAAATATCTATATTTTTTTAATTTGGATTTATTAATTAATAGAGATTATGTATCGAAAATTAAATTAAAAAGCCATAAGAAATAGAGAGATATTATCCGTTAAGGGAAAATGATAAAATTTGAGACAGATTATAATACTGTGGTTTCAAAAACAAAATATTTAAATCTTAAACTTCTTTAAAAATTATATGAATATATACATAGCAGTCATGAATGAAGAGAACAGTCAAAACACCCATAGGGGTTACTTTCATGGCGTCTTCAAGTGAAGGACACTACAGGGGAGTAAGGAAGAGGCCATGGGGAAGATACGCCGCCGAAATACGCGACCCATGGAAGAAAACTCGGGTTTGGTTGGGTACATTTGACACACCTGAAGAAGCCGCACTCGCTTACGACGGCGCCGCTCGATCCCTCCGTGGTTCCAAAGCTAAAACCAACTTCCCCACGACCCCATCATCTTTACCTCCGCCGCCGTCGGCACTATCTATGGGTCTCAACCTCGCCTCTCTCCGTCGTTGGCCTTTAGCTTCAGCTAACCATCATCACCGTTTAGCCTCCATGGGTGAGTTTCTGCAAACTGGGGTTATCAAAGAAATGTCATCCACGGGACCATCTGGTGTTGTTGGTGTTTCAACCGGTCCTCCGGTTCCGGGAAATGGGTCCGCGACGTCGTTTATGGGGATTGTTCGACGTGGTTTGCCTATTGATTTGAATGAACCGCCACCTCTGTGGCTGTGAAATGTTGTTTTCTCAGTCATTTTTAGGTTTTATTTTTAACTTTAAACGATTTTTAGGGGAATTTGGCTAATCTTTTTTTCTTTGTGTCAGAATCATCAGAGTATATTACAAAGCGAAGAACTCTGTGTAAATACGTTTTTCATTTCCGAGTCGAACATGTTTTTAGTGCAAGCTCAGTAGAACTAGAAACAGTCCAACTCTTTACCCCTTCGAATCAGGTTGATTGTATGGAAATTTCTTTGTTGAAAAACGATTCAATCGTCGGCTTGCAATATATGGAAAACTTAATCGGACGATCAGAAATTGATTTTTAAATAGAGTTAAAAAGTTGAAGCACGCGCTGGTGAGTTGAGAGTGTGAATTGGACACTTGGTGACGGCAAATGCGCAGTTAAAATTCGAGCCGAGCGTGTGCATTTTGCATTCCTATTATAGCTCGCGTGTTCCGGGATCTGGTTTACATAAAAGTAGCAGCCTATTGTATTAGACCAACTGGCCTGTTCATGCGCGTGGGAAACCATTAACCCGTCTCTAGTTTACACTCTTGGTTTCTATTGTTCTTTGATGGGACAGATGCCAACTTGAGGGAAATGACGGAAAAGAAATATCGAAAATGATCTTTTTGTTAAATTATTTAGGAAAACGGATAATTTCTATGGTAATTTTCAAACTCTAGGTTACTTTTACCCTCGGGTCAGGTTAGATTTTTTAACCTCTATCCGAACACAATTTGACCTGACATCTTCCGATATAAAATCTAACCCGAATTTCACTCTACATCAACAAATCTAAAATCCAACTTAAATTCGAACTAAACTATAATTAAAAAAAAAAACTCTCTTAAGTCGGACTAGATAATAATATGTCAGTTTAAATTGTACTGTCATTCCTATTAATTAGATGAATAACACTATTATTTTTAAATTTCACTACTTATCTTATTATTATTGATACAAGATTAATATCTTCATTTCTTTAATACGTGATTTTATTTTTATTAATTTCGTGAAATCTTTGTTACATACTATTGCCATAGTTATTTCTACTTTATCTATTTTATCCATTGAGTGAGATTAGACAATTAAAAAATTGTTATAATATAACTTATTACATATCATGATTTATATGTAACACTGCTTGACTTTTTTTTAATTTTTTTAGTGTGAGATTAATATAACTTTCAAGACGTGATACATGCTTTAAAAAAACTATGATATACTTGATATGTAAGGATAAAATCACTACATTTTCACCGTATTACAATATATTTATAATAAAAAATTAAAATAGTTGAAATATAAGGCGTTAAATTTATAATTTTTTTATTCGAGTCGAGTTGAGTCGAATGTAATTGTTTGAGTTATGCTTAAATTTAATTGTAAATATTTATAATATTATAGTATTATTTGATTTTAATTAAAAGAGATTTCTATTATTATATACAATATATATTATATATATGTAAGTAAATTTCCTCAGTTTTTTCATATATAATATACATATATCATATATAATCAAGAAACTTGACTCAAACTTAAAAATCAATGTAACACCCCAACCCGTACCTGACCCGAATACAAGTTTGAGATGTCACATTGACTTTTAAAACGATATTCTTATAAAATAACAAAATAATTGAACTTGTTTTACAAATATATAATAATATTCTATTAAAATTATACATCATTATAAAATCTGGGGAAAAATATGTATCTATGAACAGTACTATGCGGTATGAACAGTATCGTGAACAATAATGAACAATACCGTGAACAGTGAAAATTTCGAATATCAATTGTGTATCGATGCACTGCTACATTACTGCTACAGTAACTTTCGTAAAAATACGTATACTATCGTAAAAATCTAAGCTTTCATTCGTTTAAAATTTATCAATTATATATATGCATTTAAAACATTACAAAACTCAATCGTATGACTTTTCAAAACCGATTAGAACATATCGGATTTAATCCTTTATTTAGATGCCGACCACTTTCCTTATTACAAAATACATACTATACATTTCTTTTCTGATATGAGATTTGGAAAGGAGGAACTGACCTGTCTTGCATAACTTTTACCAATCTTCCTCTTCTCGGAACCTACGTGTGAAACAATCACACGCTAAGTCGTTGACTTAGTGAGGCATATAAAACATATAATATAACCATATAACATTTCATATAACAAAATATATACATGCACATATACCATCATTATCATGATCTATATCATAATCATTAACACATTTATCATATGATCTTGTACTTATCATTTCCATATGTCATATATCCTTTCATATAATCAATTCACGCATATACATATATCATTAACATGCTTATCGGTACTTATATTACTATCACTAATTTCTTTTTATCATATAAGCATATACTGAACATTACTATACATATCATGAAGCACATACATCATTTCACAACAAAGCACACATAGTATCATATCAATTGATTTATTCACTCTCTTAAATTCCCATGTATTAGCCCATGTATACTTTTGAAAACTTAAGGTATGTGAGTACATTGAGGTTGTGCACCACTATGTTGTCACCACAGCTCGTATAAATGTCCCGAAGGACCTATCCAGATGTCATACAGAACCTCGACAACTGTCCATAGGTCCCGAATAACCTAGGTAAACTATTCATATGTTCCTTATAACATAGGTATACTGTCCATATGTCCCGAAAGACACAGGTAATTCTGTCCATATGTCCCGAAAGACATAGGTAATTATGTCCATATGTCCCGTAGAATATAGGTAAACCCTCGTCTCTTGGCATACCAACTATACTACTACCTCTCATATCACATAACATGGGCATTATCATTTATAACATTTCACATATTCACATCACTTATTCTTTATCTTCTGTCACATACCACATGTATGTGTAACCATATATTTCATATCATATCACATGTATCACGTATTGCATAACCATATGTCACATAGTTCATATCACTTTGCATGGATTCACGTGGGTTGTTTCATACAGCTTATTTCATTTCTCCTTTGTTCATATACATATGTCATATCTTATTCTCATATGTTCATATATCCATCACATAGCACATAGAATAACATATAATCATATACATAAATCATTTCAATTTGATTCACATATCACATATCTCATTGCTTATATCTCTTAAGTACTTAACCCCTTGTCTCATAATTTCATATAGTCACATATCACTTATCACGTTGTTTACATCTTACGATCATGTAATCATATCAAACATATTAACACACATAAGAATCACCTATTATATCTCATAGACATATCATTTTCATACCTTTATCACATAACTTTTCCTGCATATTCATGTCACATAATGTATATTGTATGAACTCATATTATGTTTTATAATATGAAATGAATCATATATGAAAGTATTAAATCTAGATTTATCACAAGTCTAGAATTGAATATACTACTATAATCATGTTATGCATATGAACTCACCTTAGCCTTGCTTTGATTCGATCCTAACTCTTTGATTGTTCTGGAACTTGTTTAGCCTCAATATCTACAGAAACATAATTTTCGTGACAATTATCAAAAACCTAAACCTTATAACTTGGTATTAATAATTTAGGTTAATTTAAAGAACCAAATTCCATTTTTCCTTTAGGGGTGTATAGGTGCTGTAACATCCTAAGTAACGGGTTAGTGACTAAATTGTAAAAAATTTAGAATTTGGTGATTAAAGTAGAATAATTATATAGTTTAAAAAAAATTGTTAGTAAATATGAAATGAATTTAAGGACAAAATGGTCATTTGCAAGGAAAAATAATAATTAAAATTTTTTATGGGGTTATATTATAACCTACGTGGGGCTTGAGTAGGAAACAAATGTTTCCAGATTTCTCTCATCTCTTCTTCCTTCTTTCTTATCTTCTTCACTCTTCTCTTCTTCCAAACGTGAAGACCAAGTTTAAGGTAAGAATCTGAACCTTGGTAGTTTCTTTGATTTTTAGCTTGGAAATTGAAGTTTGGATGTTATATAAGCTAAAGGAAAGCTTATATGACATTAAGACAACAAGATAAGTGTTTTAGAGATAGATTTGGAAAATGAGTTTTTAGATGAAATTTTGATATGGATGAGTTTTTGAAGTTTGAATAAGATTTTTGACTTGTCAATAAGTTAATTAAGAAGTATGAGGTGATAGAATTAAAATTAGAACAAGTTGGAATTTGAGTAAGATTCTTAAATTCTATATGGATAATTGGTTTTTTTTAGTTTTAGAGGTATTGAATGGATAATAATTAGTTTAAGTAAGTGTATGAAAGTTAAGAGTATTAAAGGGAGTGAAATATGTATGTTTGAGCTGAAATGAGATGATTTTCGAGCTCAAAATAGGATTTCTGGGCTAGGGGAATCGGTACCCATTCAAGGGGAATCGATACCCCCTCAACGAATATGAATTTCCAGAATGCTAGAGGGGAATCAATACCCCCAGGGGGGGAACCGATTCCCCCATATAAAAAAAAGAAAGACTAAACTATTAATTCCTTAAATTGGTAGGCTATTAAAGATTAATTTCAAGACATAGACATCTGATAATCCTCTTGAAAATTATGTTTATGTAGATACTGAGCCTACACGAGTTCTGGAACAATCTACAAGTAGGATTGATCGAGGAAAAGGCAAAGAAATATAAGTGAGTGCATATGCATAGCATAATTATAGAAATATACCCAATTCTAGACTTGTGATAAGTCTAGATTTTATATCTTGGTACATGATCATATTCTGTATTATGAGACATGACATAAATTCATATAAAATGCATTATATGACATGAATATGCAGGAAAAGTTATGAGCTATGTGAAAAGGTAAGAATTTATATGTCTACGCGATATAGACTACGTGAAATGTAAAAGCCCATGTTATGTAGATGAGAACTATAGGTATAGTTGGCATGCCAAGGGTAGAGGGTCTACGCGGTCCTTCGGGACAAAATTCTACGCAGTCCTTCGGGATATATATATATTCTTTGGAACATATGTGAAGTCTGGTGAGACACATATGTGATCCCTAGCATATGTA